TCTGTCTTACAGTTTGTTGGTCCTCAACCTCTCAAAATGCCAATAATGGACATTAATCTATCCCAATCCGTGCTGATTCGTCCACTCTCTCCTTGATGGCATCCATCTTTTGTGCCAAAGAATGAATCTCCGCCAAAGTCCCAAGCTTACGATTCATCCCGACAATTATGTGAGTCTGTGAATTCACAGCGCGGTGCAATCCATCTCGACATGGGGGAAGAGAGCACACGGGCAGTCCAACCAGCAGCACCATCCGTGAGGTTCCCAGCTCACGGAGCCCGCTACATCAACGGGAGGACGAAGCCTCAGCAGCGCGGCTCGATCGTAAGTCAGCAGAGGATCCACACCATTCAAAAAAAGCATCAGAGACAACAAAAATGCATAAAAGCCAATAAAACGCCAATAAAAGCCAGTAAAAAAGAAAGGTACCACTGCGTAAAGAGGACGAGCAGCTTGCAGCGTGCACCTGCGCGAGCGCCTTCCCGCTTCAGAAGAAGCATCCAACGTGTTTTTACGCTTTCTCCGAGACATGCCCCGTCGCTAAGTTGTTAGCACCGCACGCTAACACGTCAATAGTGCAACGTAGCCTGCTGGAGGTTTTAAGGGTTCAGATGAAAACACCCGACCTCTCAGGCTGCTCGCACATCGATCTGAAGTTGTCGCTGTTGCGCTCACGCCGTAATACAGTATTAGATGCGGTTAAAGTCAGACATGAAAAAATAAATAAATTTTACATGAATAAGTGATGCTTATCCTGGTGGGGGGAGGAAACCTGTCAAGATCGTCAACACTCGTTTATCTTAATGCTATTGAAACATGTAAACCAAAAGGCATTATATCCACTGCTACCTTTCTAATTTTAAACTCAGTAACTTATGCTGTAACTGCACCTTGCCCTGGCTGCTCCTTTCTTCTTGCTGCCTGCCGGCTGTGATCACAGCTAGTTAGCTAGCTGGGTTGGACTAAACCAACTCAAATGTGTGTGTGGGGGGTCCTGCTGGTTTTAATAATGGTTTAAAACTACGGTCATTGGGCTGATAAATGATAGATTTATTGTCGATTTGGTGTCAGAGACGTCTCAGCTGCTACCACATGAAGAAATTAGCTCAGTTTCAGTAAAATCATAACTGTTTTTATACTTTTTGTATTTTTATGTATGTGTGTATATTTTGTGAGTGTGTGTGTAACTGGGCGCTAATTCTCATGTCACATGGCAAATCAAATTTACCTTCGGGTACTAATAAAGTTACCTTGACCTTGACCTTGAACTGACGAAATTCTAACTGTTTTTTCTGTTTCCTGATCCTGAATCTCGTTTCTTTCAAAGGCTGGCTTCGTTTAAATCTACCCAATGGTCCTGGGGATGCCTCCCTAGCTTAACATGACACTTTTACCTGAATCTCTGACTTTATGCACACTACCTCGTAGACTTCCTGTTCCGTTCACGGTTTATTCAGTAAAGAGGAATGATTTATTTCACTTTCTCCACTAAAACAAACATGAATGTTACAGTTTGCAAGTGTCTGATTCTAATTCAGACGCTGTTTCAGGAGTTTTCCGCACTTTGGGACAAATCAGTCTTTTATTTTTACACAGGGACTCGGTTTGTCGTGACCTGTTCCTAATTAACAGCACTTTAGGAGTCAGTGGAGGGTAGTTTCAGGCGAACACGGCCAAAAGGAGAAATAAATTTTAATGACACCCATCATTTTTCTAAATAACCTTTCTACTCATAGTGATTAATGTGTGTAGATGTATATTAAAATATTAAATGAAGCAGGTTGTAGGGAAGTCAAAAAACGACATTATTATAATAAATTTAATCCATTTTATGCTTTGAAAACGACAAGCGTCACTGTGAATGAAGAAGCCGTTGGCTGTAGAGGGTTGGCGGTTGATCAGTTTGCCGTAATTTGATGCGAGCAGAAGGCTGGAGAAGTGAAATGACAGTTTTTGGATCTGGGCTCTCAGCGGTTGAATCGTATCTTTCATCCACATTTGGCAGTTTACAGAAGAGCCGGCTCCTGTCAGCCCGCCAAGCCGCTTCCTGCATACATGAATAGTGACGTGATCTCCAGCAGCAGGAAACGTGACGAGACACCCGAGGAAATCTTACGTCTGCAGAGAGAATGCAAATGTGTGCATGCAATCAGCTTCTGACACAACATAAAAACCTACATTTATGTATTAATGCACATAAATTCTGACTCGTGCACAGATCTACGTTCTTCTTTAGGACAAAATGTAATATTTCTGTTTAAACATCCGACAAAGGATGATTATTTCTGATTCAGGCGTGTCCGTTCAGCGTGCACGGCTGAGAGATTGTTTTTCTAACAACAAACTGTGGAGAATCATCTCACACGTATTTTATTTTAGGTTCCTGTCAGATTTTCAGATGTAAATCAACCCTAAAAAGATGAGAGGCAGCCCCTCAGAATGACGGAAAGCGACATGTGTACAGAACAATGTTCAGGTTCTGTTAGAGGAAAATTCCCTCCAAAAGTTATTTATACGTGGAACTGATTTATTTATCTGGTTAAAGTTCTCCTTTCTGCACTTTCAAGGTCGTCTCACCAAATGCAGTTCAGTCAAAATCTTCACTGAAATGTATTTTTCATCATTTCTTTATTCGTAAACCACAAATCATCACTGAGGAATGTTTCTGAGTCATGTTTGTTAATTAGACTGAACCCTGATCACTTGTTGAACGTTTTAAAAACATTATTTCAGTTTAATGTTCTTACCAACATGTCTAAGCCTGAAGAAAACAGGAAAATATTTAGCTGCAGTTCAGTCACAAAAACGCCTCTTGTCCTAATGTGTTTGCACATTTTTAGTCACATTTTCTGTAGGCGCGTTGGAGACACAAAGCCATAACGTAGAGTGGTTTTATTTTTTCTTTCAAAAGAAATAACTGAGTCAAGCCTAATTTATACTTCTGTGTCTGCGTCGGGACCAAGCCCCCATAATTCGGGTCTGGATACGAAGCAAAACAGGAAGTGGCAAAAATTGCAGTTCCACTCTCATCCACTAGGGGCTGGTGTCAGAAGCGAGCAAATCCTCATTGACTCCCATGTTAAAAATACCAACACAACAGAAATAAACATGTTTACAGCCTGGTACCAAAACATGTTTTTGGTTTAAATGATCTAGTTTACACTCATGACAACTCTGAGGGGGGTGAATTTTTTGTCACTCTTCTGTTTAAGTGTATTAAAAGCCTAAAATTCTATATAATTAATGAGCATCAGACCCACGTGACCACAGAGCTAGCTACAGGTAAAGCAGCCTGAGCCTCGGTCTCTCCTGGAAACTGTTCGGCCATTTTCAGTCTCTCAACTTAGACCAGTAGTTGTAGCGTTTGTGTATTCTTTTTGGATATTTTTTGTGCAATTGTTGGACAAAATGATTTGCTGTGGTATTAATTGCACTAATAGAGCGTCCAAGGAGCCTCCACTTCATTTTTTTCGCTAAGTAAAATTATATTTATGTATTTTAGGTCACTGCCGAGCTGAGCTTAGATTTTAACATGCACTGTTTAACCATGAAATTTAAATGTAATAGGGAAAAACCCAGTGCATTTAACATAATGCTGCACTTTAGAAAATGGGTTGAAATATAACATGTTGGTGGAGCTGGGTTCAGACTATCGGTATGGTCCCCTCCCCTCAGCGGTCGGCTCGGCGCATCTCTGATCGCAGCGACGCTTGTCAGCTGGGCGGCTGTCGGCTTGTGGAGCTCTCGGGAGACCTCTGTGTTCCACCCGGTTCTCCCCAGCGGTCAGCCCGGCACATCTGTGACTCAGAAGCTCTGGTGTTGTGCACAGTTAACTCTGGTTGTAGCTACGTATTTACCTCCATTAGCTTAGCTCCCACCTCTGCGTAAGCTTTGGGTTAGCTTGTAGCTACGTCGCTTCAGTTCGACGGGTGTCGTCATTTGATCACAGCCTTTCAGCTCCACCTCTTTTCCCTTTTGTGGAATTGTCCGGGTTTGATGGAACCTGTGACACGTTCAAAATGGCGGTGGTGGCCACCTCCCATTTTAGCACAAAAACTTATAATTGGAGCCTACGGACACGAATTGTTCAGTATATATGTCGATGGTCGGGACGGACGCTCGCAACGCTAATTTCCGTCCTTCTGAGTGCTCCAGCAGGCTCGCAAAGACGGACGGAGTCGAGCTCAAATTCCAAAAAATCCATCCGGCGAGAAGGAGAACGCAAGCTTGTGATTGGTCAAAATGCCGCAGTCGCCTACAGCATTGCCATTGCACCCTCAAAAACATAAAGAGAGCCGAGGATATCGGTACCACTTTACAATAAGGCTCCCTTATAAATGGCTAATAAATGGTTTATAAATGTCTTATTAATCCATCTATAATGCCTTATATATGACTAATAAACATTTATTATGCATTAATTAAGGGGGAAAAAGACACTAAACTTACTAGTTTCTTGCCAAATAGTGAACCAAATCTGTTGACTTATGTACTTTATCTAGACTTCATATATTAAACATTTCAAACTAAGAAACTATTAACTATTAGCATTTGTAAACAAGGTTTTGGGCAACTAATAATGTACCTTATAACTGCATTATAAATACTTACAATGATTAAAGGGAGGCTTATTGTAAAGTGTAAAATATGTCTTTATTCATTAATAGTTAATAAACATTTATAAATACAAACTGGAGCCTTATTGTAAAGTGTAAAACATGTCTTTATTTATTAATGATTAATAAACATTTATAAATACAAACTGGAGCCTTATTGTAAAGTGTAAAATATGTCTTTATTTATTAATAGTTAATAAACATTTATAATTACAAAAGGGAGCCTTATTGTAAAGTATAAAACATGTCTTTATTTATTAATGATTAATAAACATTTATAAATACAAACTGGAGCCTTATTGTAAAGTGTAAAATATGTCTTTATTTATTAATAGTTAATAAACATTTATAATTACAAAAGGGAGCCTTATTGTAAAGTGTAAAATATGTCTTTATTTATTAATAGTTAATAAACATTTATAATTACAAAAGGGAGCCTTATTGTAAAGTATAAAACATATCAGTGTTTATTAATGACTCTTAAACATTTTTAAATGTAAAATGAAACTTTTTTAGTATGAAACTAGTTAACATTTATTTATAACCAGTAAACTTTTTGAAGACTAGGGGCCTTACTATGAAAAGTATAACAAGCTGCCTTATAACATTAGACAATACTCTATCTTAACAAGTGCAGTTGTTTTGGTTACTCTTAGGACACACAAAACCTTCTAAACAAAAATGACAAGAAAAATCTTTGTTGTGTGGAAACTGAACACATAACTGAACAGATCGTTAAAAAATTACCAGTTTCACACACATCTGTTCTATAGCTAAATATGCTGAAACAGAACAAGTCAGATAACTGAGTAGGCTTTCAGACAGACTTGCCTCTTCGAATTGGAAGCAAAGTACCATCAGCCTTCATGCTTTCTATTTTGTTTTTCACTTCATCATTGCTTTGAATCTCTTCCTCACATCGCTTAGCAAAATGGAGTACCGTCTCTCCACTGGGCTTGTTGGAGATCAGCTCCTGGTAAACAAGAGGAGCTGCGATAGCGAGCTCAGCAACTGATGCCGTGGACACAACTGTGTTTCTGTCAATCCCATGCTTCTGAAAAGCTTTGGACAAGGTCTTCATCTTTGGAAATGTCTTGAGGAGGGACTTGTATCTCTGCACAATCTCACTTGGTGTTCGGACTGAGAATCAAATTAAAACAAAGAAAACTGTTAGAAACAAATGCTCATGGCACACAATACAATCTGTTACTATAATTTACACACACACATGCATATACGTGTGTGTGTGTGTGTGTGTGTGTGTGTGTGTGTGTGTGTGTGTGTGTGTGTGTGTGTGTGTGTGTGTGTGTGTGTGTGTATGCATTTCTAAAAATGCGCATCAGTCCAAACCTTATATTCAAGTTTGGTGTCAAATACAATGTAGTTTGAAGAAAATGTTTAAATGGTAATTTTATCTCCAAAGAACATATCTTCTAGCCTGGCCTGCCAGACTAGACTTCTGCACAGAGAGTCTGGTAACTCACAAGCAGAGAGGCACATGAGGGGCGGGATTATCCAGCTCAAAAATGACCAATCAAAAAAAAAAAAGGTGGAAATGCCAACTGTACCATGTGACACAGTAGTTTTTTTAGCTGTAGTAAAAAATGGAGCCTGGTAATGGCGCAAACATCTTTCTTTAGAAGAAAGATTTTTAGCGGTTCTTGTTGTGGTTTCAAAGACATGTCCAAGTCTTTTACAACAGAGGAAAGAGCCGCGGTGAACTCCGCTTCAGACATAATTGTTTATGAGAATTTGAGCTTCACTGTGTGTGTGACATACGCTGCTCAGTGATGATTGGTTTGGTTAGCATTTTCAGGGGGGTGGGGTTATTTACATAGGAGAGTTACCAGACTCTTTCTCTGTGCAGAATTAAACAGAGGAGGACTCTGGCAGGCCAGGCTACATATCTTCTGAATATAAGTATTTTGCTCACCACGCTGCCGGAACTTCTTTTCCTCCTTCTTGTATTTCTTGGCTTTTGAATGCTTGTTTTTGAATTTGCGCTTTTGCTTCTTTGGGGGTGAAGATGAGGATGAGGATGACCACTCAGATGATGCAGATGAAGATGTGGAAGATGAATCCAAGTTTTCAGAAGGATTGTTGATAAACATATCATTTAATGGTTCGTCTTTAGGTTGCGCTGCAGAAAAAAATGGATGAATTTAGAATTTTTTTTTTAACACATATCAGGTAACACAGAGTGAAACAAACATGCAAAGTAGCTGCCAATTTCATTTCATTACACAATGGATGATTTTGTCAGCTTATGTGCTTTGACAGAATGAGAATGATGCACCCTTCTGAGTGAAATAATATACATGTGGCTGGGCAAATCTAATTTTTGTAGACTATAGAATAATAAAACAGTATAATGACTGAGTGTTGTTGTCCAATACAACATTAAATGTCAATAATTGGCAGTAATTACCTATTACCGTGGTGTTTAAAGGAGAAAAAGGGGAAAACTAAGTTGCTGGTACTAAGAGATAAAGTGGCACAACTACAAACCATCTAAATGAACACTTTGATGTCGAAATGTGTATTTTAAATTAATTATTAAAGTATGTAAATGAAAATGTATTTATTCGTGAGAGCACAGACAACTGTAAGAAAACAGATAATAAACAGATAATAGGTAATGGCATAATACATGCCAATTAATTAATCAATAGGTTTAAACCCAATTAGAACAAGTTATTTTTAAGAGTTAACTGGCATAACACCAAAGAGTAACTATTTTTTTTATCAACACAGTGACAATAAGGGATCTTCATGTATATTTATAAATTATCAGATTTTTATCACAATAATCTAAAATTAAACAATGTTTATGAAACTAGTTTAATGTCATACTTGACAGAGATGATAGCTGACTTCGGAGGAAATCCCTCTCTCCTTCCAGTTCTTCAATTCTCATCTTTTGCCACTCCAGCTTCTCCTTAAGAAAAGCAACTTCCTGTCTCTCCTTATTAAGAAGCACAGTTGCAGTAGGGGCAAGGCCAGAAGAAGTATCTAAAAAAGACAAAATTTAGATACACATTAACAACAGTAGCAGAATCTCTAATCTAAACTAGGCGAACTAAATGACAGCAGAAACAAAAATATCTACTTTAAATGGTAACAATACAAATGTAAAAAAAGTTCTGAGACAAACACCTGTTGTAGAGCAGACACTTCCAGAACAAAATAAATTATTCCTCCATGTTACCACACTGGGGTTATTCATAATGATATAAATGTATATACATTTACTAACTATTAAAAAATATAAAACTTTGTGAGGTGTCACTTTCGTAATAATTAATAGTACCAGAGATAGCTAGGCACTGTAGCAGCCAAATGGTTCATTGTTAGCATTAAAACATTCCTCACCATCACGTTTCTCTGTTGACAGCGTTGGTTTAGTGTTAACGTTATCCAGTCGCTGCTTTTTGTTTTTCTTTGAACGCGTGCTGACCGCAGGTGTCGCAGTGGAACAGGAATCTTTCTCTTCAGGTCCATCCATGGCGCTGCCGTAGCTAGCTAGCGTCGGTTTGACTGGTGGATCCACCTCAGCTCCGACGCACACCGATGGGAGGGACTTCCGTATTAAGATTCACTGTGATTGGATGTTTGCACTAAGCTCATCTCTGTATGGCTAATTTTCGTTTTATTCCCTTTGGCGCGACGATGGCTAGTTTTCATATGCAACCTAAAAATCCAGCGGGAAACGCTTCATAACTGAGTCCAATGCACTATAAGAGGTAAGCAAATTGTTTTATTTTTTGTATGCAGGGTTGTTCTTTTAATTATAATTCACTTTTAAATATTACTTTAGCTGATGAAGAAAAATCATTTTTAAGAATGAAAATGTTTTGTGTAAATGTAGCATGTTTTGTATTAACTTAACTAAATATTCTTGTTCCTGTTGTGTTAGCCATTTTTACATTTTTCTTTGAAAATTATCAGCATTTACAAGTTCGCTTGCAGGGAAGAGTAGTCATAAATAATGATAATTAACATATTTATTAAAAACCCATTTATCTTTCTTTTTTTGGTCATTCTTAGTAAGTCAACATAATTATAAATTCAGGTTTTTATTTAGCAAGTGTTACTTCCTGTTGAGCTGTGTATTGTAAAAAGAAAAAAAAACACAAATAGATTGCAGAGGCAATACAGTTTGTAACTGTATGTGCTGTGTTTTTTAAGTAAGTAAAATAAACTGGAACTAGAAATGTTTATATCTTGATTTTTTTTTGTGTGTTGAATTTTTTGGTCAAATTAATGGTTTTACATTTTTCCTTGACTTTTCAAAGAATGCTTTGAGAATTATACAAAGACTTGATCTGTTGCTATATCAGTGACCTTTTTTTACCTATGACATTCTGAAGATACCAGTATTTCAATGTAATAATATAATTAAATAAATCTATAATTTTTCCTACTAGAATGCCTCTTGGGATGAAGTTGTGCACTCATACAGAGGGAAAACAAACTAAAAAGAAGACTCTGAGGCTGATTAAATGGCTGCAAAAGAAACACCTTCTAAAGAAGAAGCTGAGATGCCCTGTTTGCCACCATAAGATGAAAATGATATCTGTGGTGAAGAAAGACCAATTTATGTGGTATGAATGCATGATAATGTAGAACATTTAACATCACATTCTGATATTAAAGGCAGGGTACGTAAGTTGGAATTGTTAAAATAATTTTGACCATCTGACCTTGTTCTATGAGAAAAAGTGTGATCTTTCATATTTTATTTTTCTCCTAAGTCCCTCCCCTGGCTTTACAGCTAAACTAATAATTTCTGCAAGCCTACCACATTGGCCAATAGCACTACATTTCAGATGTTCTCTCACTTGACTCGGCTTTCCCTGCATGTGCACGTTAGGAGGCGTGGCTTTCGGCTCATTCAGGAAGGTCGGGGATAGAGCAACAGCCCTTCAAATTTTAAAAGCAAGACACAGTGCTAACTTTATCTCAATACTTATTTATTTTTTAATATAATTTTGTGATAATGTTTATAGGTTCATTTATTTACCTCACTTTTTGGTTTGTTCTCAGGTGCTGCAAAAGAGCAAGTCATAGAAAAGTCTCCAGAACAATTAGAACTGGCTCCCTCTTTGAGAAATCAAAATCTTCTCTTTTCAGTTGGATGAAGTTCATCTACAGGTAGCCTGTGTGTATGAATGTCAACAGGAATAGCAGTTAATAATAGGGCCTCAGTGAGTTTTGATTGGTTTTCATTTCTGTCGCAGATTTTCACAAGGGCTCAGGCTCAGGCAGATAGATATGATTGATGATGATGTGGCTGGCAGCTCCAAAACATTAAGTGCCATGGCAAAGCGTATTCGACAAGTCTGCATCAGTGCAATGGAAAGACACGGAGTAAATAAAGGGCACTGTCTTGGTGGTCACAAAGAATTTGTGGTTATGGATGAAAGCTGTCTCCGTCATCAGCGAAAGGTTGTAAACTCTCAGACCCCTTTGTTATTATCAGTCCAGATCTGAACATGTCCCCTAAACATATAAGTTTTAAGTTTTTACCATTACATTTAAGAATCAATATAGTAAAACTGTTACAACCAAACAAAAACAATCTGTTAATAAACATATTATTATATCAATTACTATGATGATTTGAATCACTTGAGTCAGAATTTAACTAAATTAAAGTTTGTAAAAGTAGTCAATTAATCCATAAAGGAAATGAATGACAGAAAACAGCTTTTTTATTCAACACCTTTGTCATGCTGTTAATAAAGTTAAAATACAATTTACTTTAATAACAGCAATACAATTAAAATGTTAAGATGCAAACTGCATTTAAGAATATACTTTCTAAATATTCTGTTTAACCTTAATCTTTTTTTATTTTCAGTATGCACGTGGACGCTTCGGAAATGCTTGGAAAAGAAAGAAATGGGTCTTTGGACTGATGGGAGTGAAAGACAAAAGGCGAAGGCTCGTGTTAAAACTTGTAGAGAAACGAACAAGGCGTCACCTTGTTCCTCTGATCAGACAGCATGTTAAGTCAGGTAGTGCCATTATCAGTGATGAGTGGAGAGCCTACAAGAATGTCTTGACAAACATGGGGTACAAACATTACACAGTAAATCACAGCAGGTGGTTTGTTGATCCTCACTCGGGCAGTCATACACAACATATTGAAAGAGCTTGGATGACAATTAAAGGACATATTCGCAGACTAAGAGGAAATCGTACAGAGATGTTGTTGGAGGAACATCTTAAAGTTCTCGAATGGTCATCTTGGCTTGGTTCAAAACATCCTGATGGACCACTGGGACGCTTATTCAAGGACATATGGAAATCATTCCCAGTTTAACCTGAATCTCTTCTACAACAGTTTTTTTTAGGGAGGGGGTATTTGGTGTGTTTGATGAGTTTGGATGTTAAATGTGCTACACTTACAATACATGACCATTTTTGACAGTAGTTAACATGGTTTGTACAAATATTTTAAGCATTTAGTGTAACTCTGAAGTTTAACAAATTTAAACATTTAAGACTAATTTTTGGTATTTATAAATGTTTATTAGTCATTAATAAATAAAGATATGTTTTATACTTTACAATAAGGCTCCAGTTTGTATTTATAAATGTTTATTAATCATTAATAAATAAAAACATGTTTTACACTTTACAATAAGGCTCCAGTTTGTATTTACAAATGTTTATTAATCATTAATAAATAAAAACATGCTTTGCACTTTATAATAAGGCTCCCTTTTGTATTTATAAATGTTTATTAATCATTAATAAATAAAGACATGTTTTACACTTTACAATAAGGCTCCAGTTTGTATTTATAAATGTTTATTAATCATTAATAATCATTAATAAATAAAGACATGTTTTACACTTTATAAGAAGGCTCCAGTTTGTATTTATAAATGTTAATTAATCATTAATAAATAAAGACATGTTTTACACTTTACAATAGCGCTCCCTTTAATCATTGTAAGTATTTATAATGCAGTTATAAGGTACATTAATTATTTGCCCAAAACTGTGTTTACAAATGCTAATAGTGCTTAAAAGATAGGTTCTTAGTTTGAAATGTTTAATATATGAAGTCTAGATAAAGTACATAAGTCAACAGATTTGGTTCACTATTTGGCAAAAAACTAGTAGGTTTAGTCTCTTTCTCACCCTTAATTAATGCATAATAAACATTAATTAGTCATATATAAGGCATTATAGATGGATTAATAATACATTTATAAACCATTTATTAGCCATTTATAAGGGAGCCTTATTTTAAAGTGGTACCAGGATATCTAGTAGTAGGCATGGAGCAGCACGAAGAAACCCTCGTGGAAAAACTCTAAACATATGAACGTTTAATTCCCCCGTGACTGGAGGAGTGAAAAGATACGCAACAAGTGTTTTATTCATGGACAGAAATGACGGGAAACGTGGGTTTAGAGGTAGCGAGCGCATGAAGAGGTGGAGGAGGATGAGGGACAAGTTTGTCTGTGTTAAAAAGTTTCTTAAATACAAAAAACCACAGAATAAGCAAAATAGTAAATGTGCTGTCTTGGACTGGATACATGACGGGATACCCCAGAACAGCGCTACGCCCTCTGGTGTCCTGGCGGGGAATTGCTTAGCAACACTCCCCAGTAGACGGAGAAGTCTGAAGGCAAAACGTTGCCGTCCCTGCGCGTCTCTCCCTTGTGGAGCTGATGAGTTTACGTTAGGCTTCATCATTCCAGCGACTCCAGACAGGAAACCTGAGAAAGTCATTTTATGCTTTGGGACATTTTGAGGACTAGAAATCTGTTCATAGTCAAATCCAAGCTGTCTGCGCCCAGTGAGATAGAAAGCTTTTATTTTGGTGATCCATCAGCACTCAAAACTACTTCCTGTCTGACTTCAGAATGAAGATTTGGAAAGCCTTGAGTCAGAATTTATTTTATTTTTGCTCTCCTACATGAATTTTTTTTCTTTTATCTTTATTTAAATATTTCTGAAGTTTAAAAGATGAATTTAGGAACATTTGATGTCACACTTTTATTGGAGTTTGACACTTTTCCACCTTTTTAATGTTTTATTATGATTTTCTTTGTTTTTATTCTGCTTTGTTTGATTTATTCTTTGTTTCTATTTTATGTACAGAACTAGGTGACTGATTTACTTAAAACAATTTAAAGTCTAATTGATTTAAGCTTTTATGTTTGTTGGTTATTTCTGAGAAGCCCCTCCCAGGTGCTGCTCTCTGAACACACCTGATCTGAGTGTCTTCCTATTTAAATAACAGGACATTTTCTTTATGTGTAAACAAGATTAGGTCTGAAGTCACATCTTTGCTTCACAGTGTTCCCCAGGGCTAGGTCCTTGGCCCAATTTTGTTTCTTTTATATATTTGCCCTCTTGGGGAGATTATTAAAAGCTTTACTAATGTATCCTACCGTTTGTATGCGGATGACATGCAACTGTACTGCTCTGTCAAGGACACAGAGTTTAACAAGTTAGCTGATCTTGATTGCATTGCGCGTATTAAGGACTGGCTAGCCAGTAACTGTCTTCAGTTGAACTCAAGCAAGACTGAAACACTGATCATTGCTCCTGAACAGAAAATGTTTTAAATCAAACAACACCTCGGTTCCCTGAGCTCCTCAGTCCAGACCAGTCTCAGAAACCTTGGTGTTCCTTTTGACCAGTCCATGTCTTTGAGCTGCCACTCAAAACATTTAGTAAAGAACTACTTTTATCATTTGAGAAACATTTCCAAATTGAGAGCATTTACTTCAAAATCGGACTTGGAGATGATTATCTATGCTTTTATTTCTTCTCGTTTAGGTTACTGTAACTCTATCTTTACTTGTTTTAACAAATCAGATGTCAGTCGTCTGCAGTTGGTCCAGAACGCTGCAGCAAGGCTTTTAACAGGAACCAATATATATATATATATATATATATATATATATATATATATATATATATATATATATATATATAGGGCTCACATAACACAGTTTTATCTTCTTTACATCGGCTACCGGCCAAGTTTAGAATGGATTTTAAATTTTTAGTTTTGACTTTTAGAGCTCATAATGGACAAGCTCCACCATATTTATCAGACTTTTAAATCCCTCACTCTTCTGGCCGCACTCTACGGTCCTCTGGTCAGAACCTACTGAAGGTCCCTAAGACCAGATTCAAAACTAGAGGGGACCTGTCCTTTAGAGATGTAGCTCCCAGACTTTGAACGCCCTGCCCTTGTTTCTTCGTGTGGCCGACTCTGAAGACACTTTTATTTAGACAAGCTGTTATGTAAGTTGACCTTGTGCTCCTGTCCTGTTTTGCCTTTTTATGTGTGTTGTGAAGCACTTTGTGATTTTATCTGTGAAAAGTGCTATATAAATAAAGTTTTACTTACTTTACTCACCTGCTAACCATCTCTTTACAGTTTCAGCTCATGATGCTAATTTGTTTTCACACATTCTGCATTTAATGTAGTTCCCAACATTTGTTTGTTCAAATGAATTTTTTATTTTAGTCTAAAAGTTTATTTTCCGCTTCGTCTGCCTGATTTTCAGCTTTGCTTCTCCATAAAAGCGTAAATCTGCCAGAGGTATATTTAGTGTTTTCAGTGACATTGTTGAGGATTCGGGTGTGTTGTTGGAAAACTCTCGGTTAATCTTGTTTTATCTGCGGGGATTTGCTCCTAAATATTATTTTTTGAGGTAAAAAGTTTGTCTTTGGCGTTGGCCTCTCTCCACTCTAAGACCTGTGATCACCGGTGGGTGTTTCCATCAGACCAAGCTGAAAGTTCTTGTTTTAATCTACTTGAGCTCAGAGCAAGGAGAAACATCTGCTGGACTCTCGCTCCTCCACACAAACACCTGAGGAGGAAAGCTGTCGCTGCCGCCGTGAACTTTCCTTCCTCTCCACTTCTCATGGACTTTAAGGTCTGAGACGAGCGCAGCAATCCCACTTTTGGAGGAGTTACGGCTCTAGAAGGTGTCAGGTGGTCCATGTTGTAAATCAGGCCACATAAATGTAACCTGGATAAAGCTCCTTTAAAATGCTCAGTCAGCCAATCTGGTGTTTCCGTCGGTGGTTTAATAAACGTTTTGGATTCCAAGTAGCTTGAATCTTAAATTTTTTATGCAGATTTTTGATCATGGAGGAAATAATTATTTGAATGAACTAAAAACATTGTACATTAGGGCTGCAACAACGAATCGATGAATTCGATGAAAATCGATTACTAAAAGCGTTGGCAACGAATTGCGTCATCGATTCGTTGTGTTGCGCAACTCTTCCAAAAGCCCCCTCCCCTCCCGCCCGCCGTTGCGCGCAGACCGGTGGAGAGCCGGCAGGTGTTTGTAAGAGGAACATGGCAGAAGCAGCGAGACCCCAAAAAAGTTAAAACTTCTAAAGTTTGGGAGCATTTTCAGGTAAATCAGGCGAAGACATGCAACGTTTGTAGGTCAGACTTAGCATGGCACGGGGATACTACGGAGATGATGCAGCGTCTTAAACGCAAGCATGTCAGAATCATCAGCGAGGAAGGAGAGAGCTCGGTGTCCGGGTAAGTTAAAAACTTTTCAAAAGTGATTCACCCAAGCCCCAGATTATTACACAGGCTAGACATGCCCTAAGCTCGTAAAAAAAGTCTATAAAATTGTAAGCGCGACGCTATTTGATAGTCGGGGGGGGGGGGGGGGGGGACTCGCGCCACTGCGAACCGGTTCCGCCGTCACATTCCCGCAGAAACTGGTTGATCACACCGGGGCCAGACTACTAGCATGTGGCTTTACAACCACAATGTCCTCAGAAGCGAAAATGCTTTTAAAAGGGAGGGAGGAGTCCTAACTGTTGCTGCAGGCGTGTTGTGTGAGAGTGCAGTTATATACTGGTTAATATATTTTTGGGTTCAGTTGCTTTCATGTGGCCTAATGTGAGTCTATTTGGGATCATTGGAATGATCAGCAGCATTTCTTGATGTGACTTTATGGCAGTTGCCCAGGGCATCATCGCAAGGAGGATGGCATTCATTTACTTTTGTTTTATTTGGTATTTTTCAGTCATTTTTGGAAATAGTGATTAATTTTGATTAATTCACAGCCTATGTTTAATTACATTTAAAAATTAGTTGTTTGACATCCCCAATTATAATAAATGTCTACAGATGAGATCAAACAAAACAGATGAGAATTGCCCTTAAAGAGCAAGTCACCCCCAAATAAACTTTTTTTTGCTGATAAACTAAATAAACGAGTGTCTAATCGTGCTGCAGACACGTGTCGTCAATAATTTGGCACTTCAGTGCATCTTAGTTAAAATTTAAATATTCTGCTTAAAACTGGCAGTGTTGTGCCGTTGTCAGGTAAAAACTGCACTGTATTTTAATTTAAATCTGCCACCGCTATTGGCTAAGAAGTATGCTATGATGTAAACTGGTACATTATGATGTCACAATGCTGTCGTGAGCCTGAGTGTGTGTGTATTTGTTAGCGGCTCCGCCCTCTCGGTCTGCCAGGCATGTGTTGCATTTTTCAAACATGAAGCGGGAGTGGAGTTAGACTCTGGTAGGGGTTGACTTGCTCTTTAAGCTGTTTAATTTGGACCAAGCATTTTAGGTCACAGATAGTTGTAGCTTAGGGTCTCTGTCTATACGCCTTATAAGACAATTTAGGTGATGGCATGTTGTTTTTCTGCTATTGAACTGTTTTCTAATAATGTTGTGTTTAATAAAGTGAAGGAAGGAGAAAAATAACGTTTCCCTGGCAGTTTTTAAAAATGTCCCTATGTAATCCGATTAATCGATTAATCGTGTCGAGACCCCATCCGATTAATCGATTATGCAAATAATCGTTTGTTGCAGCCCTATTGTACATGATACAAGTGGAGGATGATAAGTCACTAATCTTTATCACATGTGTAAAAATGCACAAAAAGCATCGTTTTATCCTCCTCAGACCCCGAGTCTGTTGCATGAATATAAAGAAAAGAAAGGAGAAGTCGGTCAGCTTCAGCCGACGGCATCAGGAGAGGTTTTCATGATCGAACATTTCCATTCAGTCTGAGTCTAACGATGCGACTTTACTATACGAGACTGGAGTTTGTCTCCTGCAGAGACGTTGTTTAGGCCAGACCAAACTGTCTGAGAGGTGATTTACCAAACCGCAGGGACCAGCCCTCACGAGGTTTGTCTGCTGGGAGTCCGGACAGATCCGAACACCAGCCCAGTCTCGATTCCTGATTCAAATCTGTTCAGCTAAAAGCAAATCATTCTGATTCCATAACAAGCTGTTAAACATAAACTAACGAAGCTCAATGAAGGGCCACAGGAGAATGATGAGTCATCTTCACAGGAGCAACAACGTCTCCGGTCCAGACTCTGAAGGTCTCAGGAAGCAGGTCAAAGGTTAAAGTTCATGACAGGAAGGCGTGGAGGAAAACACTAAACAGGAACATTTGAGGAGTTTGAACTGCACCTACGACAAAAGAGCAAAACTTTATGGAGCCCAATAAAATGGACACAAGGCTGATTAATCAATCCCAGATTAAATGAGTCCATAGATCAGCTGGCCCTGATTACAGAAACTCTGGGTGTCTACCCAGATACAAGCAGTGGTCCTCAGTCTGTCTCCATGGAAACCAACATCAGCCTCCGTCATTCAACCAGAACTGGACTTTATTTCAGAATGAATTAGATTCAAAGTTGTTTTTAACATGAGTCATAACAGAGACATGCCCATACGCTTACCCATAATGCAACAGCAGGTGACTCTCTGAAGCTCTCGTGGAGGTGGTTAAGGTCCGTCTCCCCTTCCTAACATAAATGTGATTTACTCCATCAGATCATCAGTGTCCGGGTAAAGGAGGAACATGTGACCCCCAGACCGAGGAGATCCCAGAGTTCACGTGGAGCATCGTGGCAGACGGGAACCTACAAGAGGAGCGGAGCGGGAGAGCCGGGAAGAAAACGGGAAGTCCTCAGGGATGGGAGGAAGGTAAGAATGAAGGTATCGCCTTCCCTCCTTCCAGGGGAATTTCATCTTTTGACTGTGCCTGCTCATGTTAAACTGTCCTCTGCTTCCTTTGGAGTATTATGGGATGCTGCTGTGTTTGAGGAGAGCTTTCTAATTACAGAAACAGGCGAGCTAACAGCTGCTGACGTGAACTTTTCTAACTGTAAAGCAGCAGCGTTGATTAAACTTCTCTCTCCCGCCTTCACACCTCACACTTCCTGCAGCATCATTTATTTTCATGCTGTATTACCTCATCTCCCCAGGTGATGGTGAAATGGAAGGAGACTGAAGGGTCTATTTATTTCCCTGAATGTTTTTATTTTTCTTCTGTGATGAGCTACAAGTTCTGGGACCAGATGAGAGTGAGTTGGAAAAAATAGAAAAAATGAATTATACCACCTGGTTGAGGGAAGAAGTTGGGCAGTGGATAAGACTGATGGCTGCTGTTTCTTTTTCTGCACATTTAGTTTTACTTATAAATGAGACAACTTCTGACGGGAGTCTGAAAGCTACCAGCTACGACCCAAAAAGGTCCTACACACACCGTCTTCATGCTATAAACCATAACATGGATTCAAGACCTTGTTCCATATTAAATGAAGCTCATAGAAAAAACTAATATTGATGCTTAAACAGACTGAGAATAATAAAAAATACAAAGATCAGCAGAAATGTTAAAACTGTTGCAAGACGTTCATTAAGGTTACTGTGATAACCACTGGTGGGTCATTAGGGTTACTGCCAGTTTCTAATTAGTTATGGCAGCTGCTACTAGCATGTTTGCCATCGTGGTTACCACAGTGGCACATGGTGGCACAGTAGTTAGCACTGTTGCCTTGCAACACGAAGGTCGCAGGTTCGAAACTCGGCTGCGGCCTTTCTACGTGGAGTTGCATGTTCTCCCCATGCATGCGTGGGTTTCCTCCACAGATCACAACATGCCCTATAGGTTAAAAAAAATTGTAAGTCGCTTTGGGTAAAAGCGTCTGCTAAGCACATAAACATAAACATTATGGGTCACTATGTTAAATGCTAGTGGGTCATTAGGGTCACCACGGTAATTGATTCTTGTAAGTCATCATGGGAACTGCTACTAACGTACGTAACCCTGCTAGTAGCTGGTCATCATGTTAGCCGCCACTAGCATGTAAGTCATCATATTAGCCGCCATTAGCTTGTCAGTCATCATATTAGCCGCCATTAGCTTGTAAGTCATTGTGTTAGCCAGGATATCCGCGGGTTCTTAAAAAGTCTTAAATTTGCTTTTCCAAATTTAAGGCCTTAAAAATCCTTAAAAATGACAAATATGCCTTAAATAAAGTTTCCAAAGGTCTTAAATTACCAAAGACCCAATAAAGAAGATTATTTTATTTCTATAAAATTTTTGTGAATTTCTAGTCAGTGCTCAGCATTTTTTGTGTACGATGTTGGCGTAAGTGGAACCGTACACATTCAGTTGGTTGTGAAAGGGGCTATTTTTAGATGAGCACATTAGCTGGTTAAGCTAGTGGAAGCTTGTGCCATGGGGAAGTGCAAGTTTAGTGGTAACTGGATGGCTAATCCCAAGTTCGCGACGTGGTTAGCACTGGTTCCAGGCAACAGCTGGAAATAATAGCTTAAATTTAATTTAAAAAATAGCTTAAATTTGGTCAAAGTGGCCTTAAAAAGGTCTTAAAAAGTCTTAAATTTGGCTCCCTTAAACCTGCAGATACCCTGGTTAGCCGCCATTAGCATGTAAGTCATTGTGTTAACCGCCATTAGCATGTAAGTCATCGTGTTAGCTGCCATTAGCATGTAAGTCATCGTGTTAGCCGCCATTAGCATGTGAGTCACCATTTTAGCCGTCATTAGCATGTAAGTCATCGTGTTAGCCGCCATTAGCATGTAAGTCACCGTTTTAGCCGTCATTAGCATGTAAGTCACCGTTTTAGCCGTCATTAGCATGCAAGTCATCGTGTTATCTGCCATTAGCATGTAAGTCATGAGTTAGCCGCCATTAGCATGTAAGTCATCGTCTTAGCCACCATTAGCATGTAAGTCATCGTGTTAGCCGCCATTAGCATGTTAGTCATTGTGTTAGCCACCATTAGCATGTAAGTCATCATGTTAGCTGCCATTAGCATGTAAGTCATTGTGTTAACTGCCATTAGCATGTAAGTCACCGTTTTAGCCGTCATTAGCATGTAAGTCATGTTACTCGCCATTAGCATGTAAGTCATCATGTTAGCCGCTATTAGCATGTAAGTCTGCATGGTAACTGTTACTGACTGGTAGGCTACCATTAGGGCTGCAACAAACGATTATTTGGATAATCGATTAATCGGATGGGGTCTCGACACGATTAATCGATTAATTGGATTACATGGGGAAATTTTTAAAAACTGCTAGGGAAACGTTATTTCTCTCCTTCCTTCACTTTATTTAACACAACATTATTAGAAAACAGTTCAATAGCAGAAAAACAACATGCCATCACCTAAATTGTCTTATAAGGTGTATAGACAGAGACCCTAAGCTACATCTATCTGTGACCTAAAATGCTTGGTCCAAGTTAAACAGCTTAAGGGCAATTCTCATCTGTTTTGTTTGATCTCATCTGTTGACATTTATTTTAAATGTAATTAAACATAGGCCGTGAATTAATCAAAATTGATCACTATTTCCAAAAATGACTGAAAAAATACCAAATAAAACAAAAGTAAATGAATGCCATCCTCCTTGCGATGATGCCCTGGGCAACTGCCATAAAGTCACATCAAGAAATGCTGCTGATCATTCCAATGATCCCAAATAGACTCACATTAGGCCACATGAAAGCAACTGAACCCAAAAATATATTAACCAGTATATAACTGCACTCTCACACAACACGCCTGCAGCAACAGTTAGGACTCCTCCCTCCCTTTTAAAAGCGTTTTTGCTTCTGAGGACATTGTGGTTGTAAAACCACATGCTAGTAGTCTGGCCCCGGTGTGATCAACCAGTTTCTGCGGGAATGTGACGGCGGAACCAGGGCCAGATTAACACTTTGTTGTACCCTGGGCAACAATATTCAAGGGCTCCATCATCACGACCCAAGGATCACCATAATGTGGTCACATACAGAATATTTTACTGTAATATGCAGTAAATATACTCAATACTTGAATGCCTGACAACACGTAACCCGCCCAGAGTAACCTTTGACCCACCTCGTGTGGACTGACCAATGAGGAAAGGGTCTTAACTTGAGGCCCTCTCTTCATTGGTCATTCTGCATGAGACTGACTCTCAACTGACGTTCAGTCATAGGCAGCGAAGCGTCTCTGTGCAGTGCAAAAGCCCGGGTGGACAGTTTGTTTAATGTAGGGTGACCATATTTCCATTTCCAAACAAGAGGACAGGGATCTGTGCCTATGACGTCACACTATGGCAACGCCACACAAACCACGTTGGGACCCATTTTTTGTAAGAACTAAATTAATATCAGATTCTGCCAATTAAAGGGCTCTAAAACAATTCATATGTAAATATTTTGCATATTTAATGCAAAATCTAATTTTTCTGCTTTAGTGCTGCAACAAGGTTTTATTAATAATAAATTATTATACCTTTTGTTTTACTACAGCATCGGTAAGCTTCCTGTGCACAGATTATTAAGGATGCTTGTTTCAGCTGTGAGATTAGACGATAGGATCAATGATAAAATAAGTTGTCACACACTCCATGGAAACTTTCAGAGAATCCACAAATAGTGGCTTTCAAATGGTTTTGTTACTTTTTGCAAGTTTATAAAAGAAGCAGATGAGACAGCATGTCTGATAATTTAGTTTTTCATCTGATAATATTAGAACATGTCAGTAATGTCTGAGGGGCTTTTATAAACACCATATAACTAACACTACTGGAGAGGGCATGAATTACACAGAGGCTTCTGGGGAGCCCAGTTATTGGGGGGGTGGGGGGGGGGGGGCATTTGGCCTTGGCCCCCAAAATGTCTTGAAACGGCCCTGGGTGTGTGACTGAGTTTTGAAGGTGATCTGAATTGTATCAGATGTATAAATATGACATGTGTATAACTTATTGTTTTTTACTGGTAAAAACGTGTAGTGGAGATAAATCTACCTACATTTTACTTTTCAACACTTTGTTTTGTTTTCTTGTTTTTATTGAACTATTTTCCTGTCCTGTCTGTCTCTCATCTTCCTGCATCTCCTCTTAATTCTCCAGAAAATCTGTTGCCTGGATTCTTACCTTTTCACCTCATCAGTTACTTTTGAGCAGATCAAAGAGATCTCCTGACCGCAAAGCGGAGAGCGCGTTTTCGATGCTGCGTGAGGTGACATCACCGCAGCACAGGTGATGAGCTCCGCAGTAGCGCGCTTCAGGCACAAATAAGACAGAAAATAGAGAACATGTGCGGACATGAACGATCGTGTGCTAATTATAGTTTTTTGGTTGCGCCACTTTGAGAATGGACCGTGCGCTGGAAGCAGCTGCCTGGATCGCTGTGCAACAATGCGGAACCGGTTCGCAGCAGCGCAAGTCTGCCGGCTCTCCCTCCCGCTGATCTGCGGCTCTCCCTCGCGCTGATCTGACTTGCTCTGGTCTGCGTGCAACGGCGGGCGGGGGGGGGGGGGGGGCGCTTTTGGAAGAGTTGTGCGACACAACGAATCGATGACGCAATTCGTTGCCAACGCTTTTAGTAATCGATTTTCATCGAATTTATCGATTCGTTGTTGCAGCTCTAGCTACCATGTCAGCTATTGAAATTAAAGTCACCATGGTAACTGCTACTAGCATTTAATCAACCCCTACTACTAGCTGGTAGGTCACCATAGTAACGCTCGTATCTTGTCAGGTTTGTGATGGTTGTGCCCCGATCCTGGCGCTTGTTGGACTTTCTTGAGCCCACTAAAGCCTTCTTCATAGATTCAGTGGAAATCTTTGTGCTCAAGTACATTTTCATGTTTAAGAGGTACTTTGTAGTTCATCTGATCAACTGTCTGGAACAT